ATTAAATAGAACTTGCAGATCCAGTTCTTCTAGTTTTCAAGCTATGACTCAGGCCAATGTGCCCAAAGCTTTCTTGGCACCTGGGATTCATGCAGCCTTCTAGAAATATGATAGAATGTAAGGATCATTAGCTTTGCTTATATACCATTTTCTTATCTCTCCCAAATAACTCTTTCATATCGGAAGGGCACCTCCACTCTCATCTTCCTCCTCTCTGTTTCTGTAAGAACCCTCCCAAAGTCTGTTCTTTTAGGTTTGCAGCATCTGGGCCCCTGGCCAGCCAGAGCTGTATGTGGGCCTTTCTGTGGCTCTTCTGTGGTTTCTTTATATTTATTCATCTGAGATAGAAGTTTGTTTGAGGAGCATAGCTAGCATCTGTCCTGGGTAGGGAACATTGTGTGGATTTTCTTCTAGCTTCCTTCTCTTTGCGCTTAATACTTGTGTTGATTTTGAAACTATCTTCCCTGATTTGGGAGTTCAGATCTATTTTCTTTTGAGTGGTGACTATTACAATATGAATCCTGGGTAAAGTAAATAGAACACCAACTAAATTCTAAAATGCTTATTCCCCCCACGTGTAAATCAGAACATAGGAACCTGTCAGTCATTCATGTAATGTGCTGATTCCCTCTCCCAAAAGTTCTTTTTATAAAATAGATAGCACCTTAGAATTTAAGGAAATTTACTGTGTGTGGTTTTTTGTTTTTGTTTTTGTTCTGTTTTGTTGTTTTGTTTTGTTTTTAAGTAGGCTCCATGACAGAGAGTTGCATGCTCTCCAGACTGAGCCAGCCAGGCACCCCAGGAAGTTTACTTAATGGGCATTATGGATTAGGAACCATGACAAGCACTTTTCAAGGATTGACTAATTTAATTCTCGGGACAACTTCGTAAGGTGGTGGCAATAGTATTTTGTTGTACAAGTAGGGAAATTGAGGCTCAGAGAGAGTGTGGAATTTGCTCAGGTTAGTAGTGGAATTAGGGTTAGAGGTCCACTGAGTCCTTGTTTATTCTTACTGATAATTTGATGGCTTTGAGTTTGGCTGCCTTGAGGATTGAAAGGAAACCTCTTGCCCACAGGTCCCTACGGAACCAACGTAGAAGTAGTGTCCTTGGATGCCCAGAGCCAGACTTAAAAGAGGCAACACCCTGAGCAGGTCCGTCGCCTTCACCCCACAGTGTAAAGTCTGTGTGTGATTTATGTTTTCTTTTTCTAAAACTGGGATGGAGCTTGGAGCAGCAAATATTTAACCAGAGCAAATTCTCCTTGGTAAATTCCATTGGCTCGTGTAACATAGAGGTTCTTTGCCTAAAAATATTCACCACTTACTGAGGACTAAATGACTAAGTTACCCACAGAACATAAGGCAGGTCTTAGTACATGGAGCCAGTGGGTTGTTTGGCTACTTTTATTTTGGATAAAATAGTCAGTGCCCCATACTCACCCTTTGATGAGCCTGAGAGCCCCTGGGACTAAACAAGGGAGGGGTTTGGGTGGGGGGATGATAGAATGGGAGTTTAGGCCCTACTGGCATTAGCCTTCTCCTTGAAATGGGTATGAGGAAGGTTGGGGTGGGGGGAGAAGAGACTGAAGGTAAAAGATGGGCTGGTGGAGATGAAAGGGGTACCGACTTAACATGTATTATAGTTGGGGGGAGAGGGAGATGTCAGGAATTAGTTTTGTTGATTGAGTAGAAGAGAGAAGGGAAGGAAGAAAAAAGCTGAATATTGTAGGGCTTTAATCCTATATAAATAAAACAGCCTAATAAGTGAGGTGTTGTCATACCTCCGTGAATATAGCTTTTACAGATTTAAACCAGTATTACCTATTTGTTACAGTACTACTCAATATGGGTAGAGCTTTTGTTTCTCGCTAAGAAGTTCTGAAACATTCACTTTGTGTGGGATCTCCCATTATGTCAGTGTCTGGAGAATTTATTATTTATTTTTTACGTATGTATTTATTTTTTAAAGACTTATTTGAGAGAGAGAGAGTGCACACGTGCTAGCAGGGGGAGGCGCAGAGGGAGACAAGTCGACTGGGGTGCCTGCCACTGGGCTTGATCCCAGGACCCTGAGATCATGACCTGAGCAGAACTCAAGATGCTTAACTGACTGAGCCACCCAGGTGCCTCTTTTATTTTTTTATTTTTGAAAAAAAATTTTAAAATTAAGTTTTCTTTTAATTCCAGTTAGTTAAGATACAGTGTTATATTAATTTCACGTGTACAATATAGTGATTCAACAATTCCATATATCACCCAGTACTCATTTCATGACAAGTGCACTCTTTAATCCCCATCACCTATTTAACCCAACCTCCACCCCCCTACCCTCTGGTAACCATCAGTTTCTTCTCTATAGTTCAGAGTCTGTTTCTTGGTCTCTCTCTTTTTTTTCCCCCTTTGCTCATTTGTTTTTTTTCTTAAATTCCACATATGATTGAAATCATATGGTATTTGTCTTTCTCTGACTGATTTATTCCACCTAGCATAATACTCTCTAGCTCCATCTATGTCATTGCAAAAGGCAGGATTTCATTCTTTTTTATGGCTGAGTAATAGTCTGTTGTATACATATGTATGTATATATGATATACACATGTATATATGTATACATATATTCATACCACCTCTTTTTTATCCATCCATCTATTGATGGACAGCTGGGCTGCTTCCATAATTTGGCTATTGTAAATAATGCTGCTATAAACATAGGGGTGAGGATGCGGGTATCCCCTTGAATTAGTGTTTTTGTATCCTTTGGGTAAATACCCAGTAGTGCAATTGCTGGATCATAGGGTAGTTCTATTTTTAACTTTTTGAGGAACCTCCATACCGTTTTCCAGAGTGGCTGTGCCAGTTTTCGTTCCCACCAAGAGTGCGAGAGCATTCCCCTTTCTCCATATCCTTGCCAACATGTGTATTTCTTGTGTTGTTGATTTTAGCCATTCTGACAGGTGTGAGATGATATCTCATTGTAGTTTTAGTTTGTATTTCCCTGATGGTAAGTGATGAGCATCTTTTCATGTCTTCCTTGGAGAAATGTCTATTCGTGTCTTCTGCCGAGTTTTTAATTGGATTATTTGTTTTTTGGATGTTGAATTTCTGAAGATTTTAACCCCATGAGTTTGCTCACTTGTGGTAAAACACAGCTAAAAATTCAGACTCGTTCAGAAAGCACGTGCTGACTTCTCTCATTACCTGCATGGGGGTGCTTCCTGTGTCCTTGTGTCTAGTCCCGATTACTGTCCTGAAGCAATTTCCCGACCAGACATTCTCCCTGGGATGCCCAGGTGCTTCCAACCCTATAAGTTAACACAAACTCCTGATCTATTCTTCTAGTTCAACTGTTTGTCCTCTGCCAACCCTACTTCCCTACCAAACAACACCTGCCCCCCCCTCACTTATTTGTCATCCACACAGTCCTGCCAACTATGACCTCTACCTACAGAATTTCTGGTGTCCCTGCCAGTGGTTTACCTTCTTCATCCATTACCTGGACTATTAAACCAGTGGCTTTTCAACTTACCCTCCTGCTTGAAACTGGTCACCTTTCTAGTCTGTCCTCCACATTGTAGCTTTAATTGTTGTTTCTCCTGCTTATAGGATGGGGGCCAGACTTCTTGGCATAGAGTACTCCTGGCCTCTTGCGGCAAGACCCTGAATTCTTTTGAGTTTTATCTTGTGCCAAGGAATGCTTTTTTTAGTTATGTCTCATGCAACATTTAGGTTAAGTATGTCCCAAATATTGTATGGGGCATTGTTAGAAGGTAGGAGAGGAACAGTAAAGTATCCCCCAAACTAAGAAGGCAATTTTGAGACTGGAAAATGAAGCAAGCGACTCCATGCAGTTTACAGAGTTTTATTCAGGGTACCTTATTGACGGTGGGGGTGAGGCAGGAATGGCGGGTGGATCTGGCAGAGGATGATCCACAGCAGCTGCAGTTATTCTCTGCAAAGCCCAGACCTTAGTCCAGATTTTCTGGAGTGAGGGGACATGCAGAAGGGTACTATAGTGAGATCAGAAGCTTCGCATGCAACTAATAGACAGCTAACCTTTAATTAGATCTTGTGGCACCACCTGTGGTATATCTAACAGATTCACAGGAGGCCAAAACAAGCCTTACCCCCAACCCCTATCCTCGGCTTGGCAGACATTTCTAAGGTATGTATGTTAATCTTCAAGGGACCCCAAGAGGGGTCATCGAGTGAACACAAACTAAATGGAGGGCCAAAGATGGAGTCATTACTGTCAGCACTCCTGCAGACATACTTATATTAAACAATTAGTCATTGTTTAATCAAAACTTAAATTTAACTACACATTTTGTATTTTATCTGGCAATCCTGCATGTCTGCTACTTTGTTTTGTAGCCTCTTCAGAAATACAGTAGTGTCTCTCTCTATGCATTTACATCTTGATTGGATCTAAAAAAAAAAAATTGCAGTTGCAGAAACTTTGTGACTACAAAATATTTGACATTTCTTTATGAAATCTTTCATATCCATCTGTTCACAAATAAGGAGCTATATTTAATTGGGTCTCAGCAACAATGCATTTTTGCCTGAGACACTAACTTGAAAAAATATGTTGTTTTGGAAAAACATGTTTCAGATTAGGGGGTAGTAATGACTGTGGAACTTTTCCGAGTGGAGGGAATCCTCAGTCAGGAAAATGAACTCCAGTTAAATTTAGTCTTCTTTTTGCTTATGGAAATAATGAATAATAAATAGCTTCAGTTACTATTGTTTCTTTCTTTCTTTTTTTTTTTTTTAAGATTTTATTTATTTGACAGAGAGAGATAGCGAGAGCAGGAACACAAGCAGGGGGAGTGGGAGAGGGAGAAGCAGGCTTCCCACTAAGCAGGGAGCCCGATGCGGGGCTCGATCTCAGGACCCCAGGACCATGACCTGAGCCGAAGGCAGACGCTTAACGACTGAGCCACCCAGGCGCCCCTCTCTATCCAGTTTTACAGATGACTTTTCTCTCTTTTTCCTCAGATTCCTTTTTACGAAGATATTTGTAAAGGCATTAAAGCTGGTGACACCTGTGAGAAGCTGGTGGGATATTCAGCAGTGTACAGAGTCTGTTTTGGAATGGCCTGTTTCTTTTTCATCTTCTGCCTCCTGACCTTGAAAATCAACAGCAGCAAAGGTTGTAGAGCCCACATTCACAATGGGTAAGTCTTTGGTCTTCGGGGGTGGGGGTGGGCAGTTTGCCCTTTCCTGATATTTAGAACACGGTTCCTCCATCTCTTGTACTCATCAGACTGTCTAACTGGTCTTCCTCTAGTTGACATTGTTGACTCTGACTTTAGGGAAGGTGGGACTTGTCACCCCTCCGTGGCCTAAGAACTAGAATCCTGTTTGTAACACTTAGTACCACGATGAGAGTTGCAGCAGAGACAAGAGTTTTTATTTCTTGTGCTAAGACCTATTCCTACATCATCCCCCCACCCCAACAAAGTGGTGTTTTGCACAGAGGCCACGCTGAGTTGGTCTAATTATGGGAAAAGGCAGTCTCCAGTCACTTAATTACTCCACCTCGATTTGGAAGGAACAGTACCAACAGCAGAAACACGGGCTGATGTGCTTACCTTCTAAGAGCTCTTTTGTCCTTCCATGAATATCATTTAAATACATTTCCTCTTTTTTTTTATTTTTTTCCTTCCAGCTTTTGGTTCTTTAAACTTCTGCTGCTGGGGGCCATGTGCTCAGGAGCTTTCTTCATTCCAGATCAGGAGACCTTTCTGAATGGTACAAATGGGGTATTTGGGGTACCTGTTTATTTTGTTCTTACCCATTTTGTAAAATTGTTGCAAACTGTAGTCCAGGGTGCCTTTGAAATTTTGAATTAGTGATTTCTTGTGGTTTAATAAAAAATTCCCTTCTTACCTGCCCACACTTCATCCACCGGCTCCTCTCCCTCTCCCCTCCTCTCCGCCCCCCCAACTTCTTGATCTCTCCCCTATTCCCTCTCTTTCTGGCTGGGTGTTACCCTGCAGCCTGGAGAATTCAAATGGTAACTTTAAGGCTATTGGCCTGAAGGGAAAATGGGGCACTTAAAATTTGTTTGAAAACCAGTTTAGCATGTCAGTGTGACACCATCAGCCATGTTTGAAAAGGCCCAGGGAGGCCTTGCTCTTTCCCAGCACTGCCCAGGAACTCCACCTACACCCGAAACCAACACCGGGTTTCTGAGCAGCTTCAAATCTGCGTGCAGCTGAAGTGAGATCAGGGGCTTATCTTACTTGTCTAAACTTATCTTACGTAAAACTATACCATTGAATTATGTTTCTTTTTCACCAAATTTACCAAAATTAATTTAATTTGAAGCCTTTAATCATATCTGAAACGGGGGCCTTTTTTCATAAGAGCCAGGGAGGGAAAAAAGCCTGAATTTCAGTGGCTCAAAACATTGTTTTAACCCAAATGAATTCATTTTTCTAGTTCAGGTAGTAAAAACATTCACACTGTGTCAGTCCGTAATGAGCAGCCCACGGTTCCTCAAATGGTCACTAGGGTCCAGCTAATATTTAGGGTCATACTAGTTTTTTTTTTTTTTTAAGATTTTATTTATTTGACAGAGAGGGAGAGAGAGAGAGCACAAGTAGGGGGAGCGGCAGGCAGAGGGAGAAGCAGGCTCTTCACTGAGCTGGGAGCCCGAGACGTTAGACTCGAGCCCAGGACCCTGAGATTGTGACCTGAGCCAAAGGCAGACACTTAATCAACTGAGCCACCCAGGCACCCCTACGGTCATACTAGTTTTATGTAGTCCTTAAGGGAGTTATATCTAAGTCTTGGTTTTTCCCAAAATGCTGTTAACTAGCCTTCTGTTCCCCACAGATATACTTTTATGTATGAAAATGGTAGATTTAGGGGGCGCCTGGGTGGCTCAGTCATTAAGCGTCTGCCTTTGGCTCAGGTCATGATCCCAGGGTCCTGGGAGGGAGCTCCGTATCAGGCTCCCCGCTCTGCGGGAAGCCTGCTGCTCCCTCTCCCACTCCGCCTGCTTGTGTTCCCTCTCCTGCTGTGTCTCTCTCTGTCAAATAAATAAAATTTAAAAAAAAGTAAAGAAAATGGTAGATTTAGGTTGGGAAGGGGCCTAGCAGTCGTCTAGTGCATCTTAGTCATTTTTATAGACAAGCTGTAACCCAGAGGAGTGACATGGCTCTTTCAAAGTTAGAGCTTCCTTGTGGCAGAGAAGTGGATCTGAGTCGCTTGGCCCCCAAACTGAACCTCATTTCCCTAGTAGTCTCTGGTGGCTCCCTAGACAATACAATCTGAACCTTTTTCCCTCTTAATATGTGTTTTTACTTTTAAATTGTGGGTCATTGTTGATTCTGTGAATGGCTGCATCTGTTAGGCTGCCTGGCAGGTACAGTGTGGAGGTTAAGCTCAGGTGCTCCCAAGCCACACTCCTTGTGCTCACATCCCAGCTACGTCCTTTACTGGCTATGGGACTTTGTCCTATTTACATAGATTCTCAATTTTTCTCATCTGTAAAGTGGGCATAATAGTGGCACCCATCCTATGTGATTGCCTGGAAATTGAATGTGTTGCAGGTACACTAAGAATTCAGTAAAGATGAACTATAGTCATTATTCTCCTTTGAGCTCAACACTGGAACAATCATCTCATCTCGTCTTCTTTTGCAGCCTGGCGCTATGTGGGAGCCATCGGGGGCTTCATCTTTATAGGCATCCAGCTCATCCTGCTCGTGGAGTTTGCACATAAATGGAACAAGAACTGGTATGTGCATTTTGGGAAAGTTTTCAAGTGAACTCACCCGGTGCTCAGAGAAACTGCCCGCAGGACGGTGTTGATAGAGGCTCGACTCCGAGTTGCCCTGGCCAGGATCAGCGGCCTGCTCACGCCTCAGACAGCTTGCCGGCACTTTCCCTGCATTCCTGCTCTTTGAACCTTTTCATTCACTCCTCTCCCATGCTGTTTTTCTCTCCTTTCTACCTTTCCTTCTTCCATTTCGTTTCTCTTCACTTTTTGGCTTTTTCCCATGCTCTCTCGTTTGGGCTCTGAGTCGGCTGCTATTGTGATTTAGCCACACGCATACCCATTGCTGGCACTTTTCGGCCCTGGCTCCCTGGTTGGGATGGTGGGTGCCTGAAAACTATTGTGATTTAGCCACACGCATACCCATTGCTGGCACTTTTCGGCCCTGGCTCCCTGGTTGGGATGGTGGGTGCCTGAAAACTTGGGCAGGCTTTATCGTAGGCTTCCATCCTTAGGAGATTTAAAGAAAGAAAACACTTTGGAGCTGAAAATACACTTCCTGCAAAGAATATGTGATAGAATAGTTCTTTACTTAAATTTTTATTGGTTCCTAGTCAACCTGCCTAAGAGTATAAGGACCTTCATTAGGAAGGTCTCTTGTGCTACCTTAGAGAGCCATCCTGAATTTAAAGATACACAGTCTTTCTAACTGCCTTGAACATGGGATTCACATCCTAGGATAAGTGGGAAATGCCAAATATTAATAGCTACTTTTATTTCTATTTATTTTATTGCTGAGCCGCGTCAGGGGAAGGGCAACTAGATGAGAGTCAACCCCTTAAATGCTAAGGCCGGGTGGGCTCTCTTTGTGACTCCAGGCAAGGCACTTTGCTGTTCGCTGTCCTACTTTGCTTATAAAATATGAATGAAGGGGCGCCTGGGTAGCTCAGTCGGTTAAGCATCTGACTTCGGCTTAGGTCCTGGGATGGAGTGCATGAGCATCAGGTTCCCTGCTCAGCAGGGAGTCTGCTTCTCTTCTCCCCCTGCCCTGTGTGCAGCTCCCCACCTTGTGCTCTCTCTCAAATAAATAAATGAGATCTTTTAAAAATATATGAATGAAAATACCTATTGTACCTAGTAAGACTTTTGTTATTTTGTAGATTTTATATGTATCATGTTATTTTATACTGTTTTGGAAAAAAATCAGAAATAATGTATGAATTTGAAATTTATTTTTTATCTTGGACAAAACAAAAAATATGGTCCAAATTCTTTGAAAATACTTTTTTTTTAAGATTTTTAAAAATATATTTGACAAAGAGAGAGCACAAGCAGGGGGAGTGGCAGAGGGAGAGGGAGAAGCAGGCTCCCTGCTGGGAGGACCCCTGAAAATACTTCTCATTCTTTTCATTCTGGTTACATTCCTCAGCTTGGTAGTAGTAGTAGTTTCATTTGGGTTTTGGTTTTGTTTCTTTAGAGAACAAATCAAGAGGTGTGTGAGTGAAAGGCTAGTGTTATCGTTTTATAATTGGTAAATATTGGAGTAAGTACCCAAATACTTAGAGTCAGTTTTTAAAATGTTTACAGCACATTGAAGAGTCACATAGGTAGCACTACAGAAATTTATTTTGTCTAATAAAAAATCATCTTAAGTTCTAAAATTTTCACATGTATACTTCAAAACAGGGAATTTTTAAAATAATAACATCTTCAGTACTGAGTGCCTGATTTGTCCATTAAGAAGTATGTTCTCTTGAGAATACTTGTACTTCTTCAGCTCTGATCTGATTGTTTTGATTGATTCTGAAGCCGTTTTCTGGGACTAATTATTGATGCCAAGTTTTAACAGGCATTTTGGAAGAGTTTGGCGGCTATAAAAACCTTCCAGAAACCACTCAATAAGAGTGGCTTAAGAGCTTTGCAACAAATGATGTTGTTGTTGTCTCAGCGTTGAGGCTAATATCCCAACAAAATCCCTTTTGTCAACATATTCATAGTTGATTTGTCTGCCTAAAATTAGGATTAAGCTAGGAAGCTCACTAATAATGTACTTTCAGGTAAATTATCTTACTAGTTTGGGGGGGGCCATCTTTTTTTAACAAAGACTGTTGCTTACAAGGTTAGTCTAGAAAATATAATACATCACTCCTAATGGAACAACCAAAGTGCTTTTTCTTCCCTTTTCTTCTCTGTTTTCTCTCTCTGTCTTTTTAAGATTTTCTTTATTTGGGGGCGCCTGGGTGGCTCAGTCGTTAAGCGTCTGCCTTCGGCTCAGGTCATGATCCCAGGGTCCTGGGATCGAGCCCCGCATCGGGCTCCCTGCTCCGCAGGAAACCTGCTTCTCCCTCTCCCACTCCCCATGCTTGTGTTCCCTCTCTAGCTGTGTCTCTCTCTGTCAAATAAAGAAAATCTTTAAAAAAAAAAAAAAAGATTTTCTTTATTTGTCAGAGAGAGATAGCACAAGTAGACAGAGCGGCAGGCAGGGGGCGAGGGAGAAGCAGGCTCCCCGCTGAGCAAGGAGCCCAGTGTGGGACTTGATCCCAAGACTCTAGGATCAAGACCTGAGCCAAAGGCAGACGCTTAACTGACTGAGCCACCCAAGCATCCCTGTTTTCTCTTTTCAGTAAACATCTTGAGAAGGAAAAGATCCCAATGGTAGTAGGACGGAGGCCCTGGGCCCAGAAACCAGGAGGCTCCGGGTGTTCGTGTCCCCGCTTCTCTAGTTTACAGTTTTCTTTTAGGCATATTACTTGGCCTCTCTGACCTCACTTTTCACACCTGCAAAATAATATGGTTGCATTAGATGTTTAACGTGTTTTTTTCTTTCTACCTCGATTTTTGTGATTTGAAGTGACAACTCTTAAAAATGAAATAGCAAAAAGTAGAAGGTACATTCTGGTGTTTCTCACAAAGACCCATCTTCTAAATGTACTAGATTTGTAATTTCCATTATGGTTGGGCTCTCCTGAATCCTGAGCCCAAGTGCAGCTGACTCTCCCAACCCGGCTCCTGCTTACTGTGTTGGTGCTCTGCCCATTGTCTAACCCTTTTCTCATCTCCTTCCAAGTGCTTCTTCCCATTTAGCATTTATTTACATTCTGGGGGAGTATTAAGTGTGTGCCAGACAGTGTGGTGGTAGGCACCGAGAGTATAAGGAAAAATAAATCATGGCTAAGTGCCACCTAAGTGGTGGGACGTCTGCAAGAGCAAGCTGTCACCAAGGAGGAAGCCACGAATCCGGAGCCACGGGAATGGCAGCCATTCTGCTACCGTTGCTGCACAAAGTTAGTTTTAACCACTGACAGTCCTGGCAGCAATATTCATTAAGCACATACTATCTGCCAGGCACTCAACGGCAGGAGAAGAGCAGTGAACACAGTGATGTCCTGCTCTGTGGAGCTTACCTTCTCCTTTTGGGGAGGGCAGGGAGCATGGGTAGATCATCAGTTTATGATCAAGCAAATAAGTAACAGGCTCGATGGTGAAACAACTGGAGGAAAAGAAAGCAGGGTGTGGGCTTTGGGGAGAGCAGGGCAGGGAAAGGCTTCACGATCAGGTGTGAGGGAGTTAACTGCAACCAGAAGGAAGAGGGACAGATGGAGGCAGGACTCCGCTTGTTGAGGGGCAAACGGGCATCCTCTGTGCTGCACCCCAGTGCTGAGGGCTGGGCACCAGAGGAGAGATAGGAGATGGCATTGGGTCAGATCATGGTGGGCTTCTGGGGCCGTTGTGTGAGATGGAAGGGCATCACTGGGGTTTGAAACTAGAAGAACATGATAGGATGTATATTTTAATTACAGAATAGATGAGAGGGGGAGAGAGTTGCAAGTAAGGAGACCTGTGGGAGATAATCCAGGTGAAAGATGACTGTAACTCGGACGATGATAGCAGCAGTTAGGTTCTGGTATGTTCCAGAGTTGGAACTTGTAGTAGACTTCACTGATGGTGATGAGGATGTGTGGGGGGCGGGGGGGAGCCAGGAGAGAAAAATTGCAGCCAGGAGTTGTTTTCTTTTTGTAAAAATTCCTCTTCTCAGGACACCTGGGTGGCTCAGTTGGTTAAGGGTCTGACTCGTGGTTTCAGCTCCGGTCATGATCTCAGGGTCGTGGGATCAAACCCCACCTTGGGCTCTGCACCCAGGGCAGACTCTGCTTGTCCCTCTCCCTCTGCTCCTCCCCCTGCTTGCGTGTGTTCTCTCTCTCTCTTTTTCTCAAATAAATAAAATCTTAAAAAAGAGAGAGAGAAAGAAAGTCCTTCATATGCTAACAAGAGCCCAAAAGACCAGTGGAGAAACAGTCACACCCCACCCACACTGGTCAGCCGTGTTCACCTTTTCCTACATGATGCGTTCTGTTTCTCTGTCATTGATTACCATTTGGCTCTCAGAAAATTTTTTTTTTTTTTCATTTCTCGAGTCTCATTTTCTGTCATTTCCTTTGCGTGCCTTTTACGTTAGACTAATTCTGTAGTCGTGGAGTGCCTGGCTTGGTTTCAGGAATATGATGATCATTATCATTTCTGTCTTTCCTCTGTGTTTGTCTCTGGCTGCAATAACTTTTTCATAATTAAAACATTTTAGCTGAGTTGCCTGAATACTTTCCAGTTTTGTGAAAACATTAAGCAAGTTGCTTTCTCTGTGAAGGTTTGTTAGAATGTGGTTACAGTGGGGCCGTTTAATCATAAGGCAGATGACAGTGATTCACTCCGTGCTCCCTCTGGTTCTGTCCTCTTTGTTTAGTGGTTTCGAACATTCTTTTTTGTTGTTCTGAATAATTTCGGTAGGTTGTTAAACCACCACTTATTTCTCCCGTCCCTTTATTAATAAGTATATAAAGTAGAAAGCAAATTAATCTCTCTAAGTTTCTTATTATAAATCCTGTTATAGTTTTTACTCATTGCCCAGCTGATTTTATTCTCTTTATACTCTCCCTCCATCCCACGTGGCATTGTTCTGGAGAAGCAGTGTACCACTGAGGACGCCCCTTTGCCGTGGACGGACGAAGGGGCTGCGGTCCTCCAGTGTCTCTCTGAGTGAAGGTCGCTTGCTGCTTCTCTCCCCAAAGAGAAGCGGCGGCAGCACCTCTGGTAGGATGCGGTGGCACGTCCGGGCTCTGTGTTGAGCAGGAAAACGTGAAGAGAACCCCATCTAAGAGCCATTTTTTTTTTTAAGACTTGCCAAAGCTGACCCCAGGGTAATTCCTATTCAGAATGGGGAGAGTAGAGTCAAGTCAGTGGATGTGCATTTTAGTTGATGCGTACACATAAAAACAGAATGATTTAGTGTTTAGAAAACATTCTGAGCCTGAACCAGAGCTGTTCAGCATATTTTACGTGTACCTTCTGGCTTCGCTGGAACATGATGGTGGCAAAAAGGTAGGTCTTCTGGACGACTGGGTTTCTAATGGCCTGGGGCCTGAGAGCCCCGTGAATGCCTGAGGGGTGGTAAATGTGGTCAGGGAATGGGGGCTTTGTTGACTTGTCTTCTCTCCTCTCCCTCTTACCTGCTTGTGGAGAAACAGGACTGCAGGCACGGCCACCAACAAGCTGTGGTACGCCGCTCTGGCCCTCGTGACACTCATCATGTACTCCATTGCTGCCGGAGGCCTGATTCTGATGGCGGTGTTTTATACACAGAAGGACGGCTGCCTGGAAAACAAAATTCTCCTGGGGCTGAACGGGGGCCTGTGTCTGCTCATTTCAGTGGTAGCCATCTCACCGTGCGTCCAAAATCGTAAGCACGTTTTTCCCCCTTCCTCCTTATTTATGTTTTGTTGTGTGTAAATTTGAGCAAAACCTCATGTTTTCAGTTGTGTTTTTAAATCATGGTCTTTCCTTAATTTACCATGCATGGGTCGTCCATAGGAAGGGTGGGGCTGCAGTCTCCTCTTTAAATCCCATACTTGGGCAGAATGTGATCGTTGGCACGCCTCAGGTCAAGAAAGATCGGAACGTAGTGAAGTCAATAAAGAGGAAGACAGATGTTACCATTATTATTATTTTTTAAAGATTTTATTTATTTATTAGAGAGAGAGACAGGGATAGCGACAGAGCGTACAGCACAAGCAGGTTAGAGAGGGAGAAGCAGGTTCCCGGCTGAGCAGGGAGCCCAATGTGGGGCTCGATCCCAGGACCCTGGGATCATGACCTGAGCTGAAGGTAGACACTTAACCGACTGAGCCACCCAGGCGCCCCAGCTGTTACCATTATTAAATAATGTACTACAAGGAGCCTTTAAGTGGAAGATGCCTTGACTGTATATGAATAACTATAATCCCCGTGGAAAACTTGAATGAGAAGGCTCCAGAAGGAGCTCTTTCTGGGCTCATCTTTCACCCAAGGCCTCTGGGTCAGAAATCGGGAGCCATGTGGCCTAGGAGTCAGGAAGCAGGAAATCCAATCTGGCTGAGCCAGTAGCTGGCCCCACGAGCTAACCTTCCTCAGACCTCAGTCCTTTCTCAGCAAAGCCAACAGAAATCTGTAAACCTTCCTGGCTCAAGGTTGTTTCAAAGGCAAATAGAAGAGGGGTGCCCGGCTGGCTCAGTCAGTAGAGCATGTGACTCCTGATCTTGGTCATGAATTCGAGCCTCACGTTGGGCATAGAGATTACTTAAAAACAAACAAAAACCCACAGAGGCAAAAAGGAAGGGATAATGGGATTTGAAAGTGCTTTAGAAAGTACAGGCCTGACTTACCTTTTATAAACAACTTCTAATGTCTTAAGCCAGGATACCATCTTTGGCTACAGAAAGAAGTTGTCAGGGGCGCCTGGGTGGCTCAGTCGTTAAGCGTCTGCCTTCGGCTCAGGTCATGATCCTGGGATCCTGGGATCGAGCCCCACATCGGGCTCCCTGCTCCGGGGGAAGGCTGCTTCTCCCTCTCCCCACTCCCCCTGCTTGTGTTCCCTCTCTCACTGTGTCTCTCTCTGTCAAATAAATAAAATCTTAAAAAAAAAAAAAAAAAAAGGAAAGAAGTAGTCATAGTCTAATTTTCTTGAAGGTATCTTACTCTACAGGTGATGAAATGCAAATGATATCCAGGTTTCTAATAGGAAAAGGGAAAGGTGGCCAATAATTTATAGCCCCTCAAATCATTTCTAAAATGGTGATTTAAAAAGTGAACTAGTCTTAGGGTGCCTGGCTGGCTCCATCCCGATTGGAAGAGCATGTGACTCTTGATCTCTGGGGTCATGAGTTCAAGTCTCACGTTGGGTATAGAGATTACTAAATTAAATAAATAAACTTTAAAAAAAAAGTGAAGTAGTATTGAATAATTTAAAGGTTTTCTGGTACTGGTCCTAATCTCCTAGTCCCTTTTACTGACCCCTTAAGAATTTCCTAAAACACACTAGTGTTCAGATTAAACTACCATTTAGGTTAAATCCTACTTTTTAAAATAGTTATAATATGTTGGGGTGCCTGGGTGGCTCAGTCGTTAAGAGTCTGCCTTCGGCTCAGGTCATGATCCCAGGGTCCTGGGATCAAGCCCCGCATCGGGCTCCCTGCTCAGCGGGAAGCCTGCTTTTCCCTCTCCCACTTCCTCTGCTTGTGTTCCCTCTCTCGCTGTGTCTCTCTTTGTCAAATAAATAAATAAAATCTTTTAAAAATAATAAAATAGTTGTAATATTTTGAAATATTTGGTTTAATGCCATTAGTTGCTAAAGTGAGTCTTATTCCCATGCCAAAGAGCAACATTATAAAAGACTATTTCTATACCTTTATTGGTTAGTACAATTTATTTTATTTTTATTTATTTAATTTTTTAAAGATTTTATTTATTTGAGAGAGAGAAGGCTGAGCATGAGTGGGGGGCAGAGGCAGAGGGAGAGGGAGAAGCAGGCTCTCTGCCAAGCAGGGAGCCCAATGTGGGGCTTGATCCCAGGACCCTGAGATAATGACCTGGGCCAAAGGCCGAGGCTTAACTGACTGAGCCACCCAGGCTCCCCTGGTCAGTACGGTTTAGTAATTAAAACTTGAAACAAATTTAATCAGAGGGAAGACTGGATGAACTAATAAATCCTTTCATGTAGGGAGGTGGTTAAAAATTCCACCAAAAAATGATAAATCCTTTTTGTCATATCCTGGTTACTCTGAATGATTGAAACAGTTTAATTTAAATATTATAACATATTAAAGCTCTTCCCTCAATGAATGCTGAGCCCCAGTGCTGCCTTCTTTACCTGAATTGGTGTTCCCAAAGGTGTTTTTTTTTTTTTTTTGGTTTGTTTGTTTGTTTTTGTCTATTGACAGGTTGAGCTTTTTTCCACTGTCATGGACTTTAAGTGTCTGATGGCTTTGTAGAATCTGGAATCCATGCCCTATGAAATCTGTCTCCCATTTACCTCACTAAGCTATGTGGTCTCACAAATAATGATGGTGAATTTTCTTCTGAGGTCTTAAGATTTTAAGAGCTCGTGTTAATGACCCTCAGGAGGACGAGGCAGTATGTTTAAGTACAGTTGTTATTAAAAAAAAATTTTTTTTTTTAGGATTTTATTTATTTATTTGACAGAGACCCAGTGAGAGAGGGAACACAAGCAAGGGGAGTGGGAGAGGCAGAAGCAGCCTTCCCGCTGAGCAGGGAGCCCGATGCGGGGCTCGATCCCAGGACCCTGGGATCATGACCTGAGCCAAAGGCAGACGCTTAACGACTGAGCCACCTAGGCGCCCCTAAGTATAGTTGTTATGAAAATAACATGGTGGTAGAGCACTCAGCAGAACCTGGCATCTCTAAAATAACATAGTTAGGCTTAGTGTATAATTCCATCCACTTCCCTGTCTTTTTAGTGTTGTTTGGAAAGTGTGATATTGACCTCTTCTTTCCTTTAAAGATGGGGGTCCAAGTTTGAAGAGTATCATTTGGGGATGGGGACCTATTTTTTTAGACTTTCTTATTTTTGAAATTTAAAACTCTGTGTTAAAATCTGTCACTTTGATTTTCTAGGACAGCCCCATTCTGGGTTGCTACAGTCAGGGCTCATAAGCTGCTACGTGATGTATCTCACTTTCTCGGCGCTGTCCAGCAAACCCGTAGAAGTAGGTAAGCCAGCCTGCCTTCTTAGGGAGCATGGGTTTGAATATTTTCATTGTAGAGGAAGGAATATGTCTCTACTGAGCTGTTGATTAGAATGTCAAAGATGTAATAATTCAAAATAGATGATCTAGATTTTTCACTAAATAATGTCCTTAACGTGGGATACGAAAATGAAAATTTCTTTTTCTGAGTCTTCCTGCTGTATAGGAAAGACAGGAACAAAGATGGGCTGTTGAGTATGCTTTGGGGCTAATCTGCATTTTCCTGCTCTGTGTTTTCAAGGAACATTATTGTGTTTTGCTTATTTTGCGTTGTCTTTTTCGTTGGTTACTAATTTCCTTTTCTTCAGGTGGTCATCTCTCTGACTGTAAGAGAGGGTGGGAGGAACGTGGGAGTGGGAAGCAGGAGACAGGATTTGAGCCCAGCTCTAACATTGGCTAACTGTGTGACCTTGAATTGCTCTTCTTAAATGTTTATTTATAGAGACAACACAACATGTGTGAGCTTGGGAGTCAGACCGCCTGGGTTTATAGCTTGGTTCTGCCACTTCAGTAACTTGTAGAAGGTTATTTACCTCTCTCTGCCTAGATACCTTGTCTTATTATTCTAACAAGGTAATTAAATAAGATTCTTACTTTATAGGGTGGTTTTTAAAGAATTCAGTGAGTGTGTGTGTGTGTGTGTGTGTGTGTGTATGTTCCTGGCATGTCGTAGGTACTCTATAAGGGTTAGCTATTGTTACTGTAGTGGTTGTAATGATTGAGAACTATAAGAGCCCTATTATATTATACATTGTTATTATCTGAGCCCCTTGCCAGTAAAAGACCAAAAGACCATTTCTTATTTTGATTTCTGAACTCATTATATTTCATCACCTATATCACTTTTGTGATATATAAATGTGTATATAAATGTATACACACATATATACACATTAAGTATATATGAATGTATGTATGTTTGGGTACATTTGATCTTGTATAAATCAAGTTAAATAAATGTGCTGTCTTTTCTCTAGAATAGAAAATTGAAGTTGTTTTCCTTTTTTAAATGTAGAAAGTAAATGCAAAGATAATTTTGAAGGTTTTATATACATGTATTGTGTGTATGAGTCTTGTCTTTATAGCTATTTATAGGGCAAAGTGATCTAATTGTAGGTCTTATATTAAGTACAGTCTATCCTGGATTTAATTTTTTTTTTTTTAAATAGCTCTGTCTTGACTCTAAGTTTATTTAGGTCTAGTTTCTTTAAGACTTTCTTTTATGACTGTTAATTTTTGGTTTTAATGTAATGAGGTTTTTGGTTACAGTGTTTTTCTCTTAAATGGCAGGGATCACTTACAAATAGAAAACTTCCTTTTAATTTCAGGTGATACTACTTAAATAGAAAAGTTCATATTTTGGTCAGTTAAAAAGATTTTTTTTTCATTGGCCTAAGAATAGAGATTCCTTACACCACAGCACACACAGCTATTTTTGCTGTCTCAAATGTGAGTGCCAATAATAATTGTAGTCTATCTTCTAATACTTAGAATGTGCATGTTTGTAAAATGGGCTTTATTTTTATTTATTTATTTAGGGAGGGGGAGAGGGAAAAGGAGAGAGAATCCCAAGCAGGTTCCACGCCCAGCATGGAGCCTGGTGTGGGGCTTGATCTCACAACCTGGAGATCATGACCTGAGCCAAAACCAAGAGTCGGATGCTTAACCAACTGAGCCACCCAGGCACCCCACCTCTTGAAACTTTTAAGAAATCTAGAAAACATCAGGATATTCCCAGGTCACACACTATTTTTTTTTTAAACCTTTTTTCTTTTTTTTAAGAGATTTCATTTTTAGGTAATCTCTACACCCGACGTGGGGCTTGAACTCACAACTCTTGAGAACAAGAGTTGCATTCTCCTTTGACTGAGCCAGCCAGGCTCCCCAGGATGTGTTTGTGATTAGCACTTACTTTTATTTTTTTAAAAGTGGGCTCCACACCCAATGTGGGGCTTGACCTCATGACCCTGAGATCAAGAGTCACTTGTTCTACCGACTGAGCCAGCCAGGTGACTGAGCCAGCCAGGTGACTGACCCACACACACTATTTTTTCCTCCCACCTTTGCACAGGTAATTTTATTCTCTCCTGTGGGTTGTCAGCAATGTTCATAGACTGTAATTTGAAACACTCAGAAAGCACATACCTGAGTATTGTCACATTTTTTTACATCATGATTCAGTAACTATTAACCAGTTATACCTATTAAACACAGTGGACAAAATGATACATCTGTACTGTTCCCTTGTAAACAGGGCTTTTGTGCACAATAGTAACAGATGGAATTAATGCATACTACAGTATCATTGAGGAAAGAACTTCTCTTTAACTCTTCTACTTATAAATAAACTGATGTTTTTTAGCACTGTAGATTTAGTACATTTACAGACTTGATCAACAAAAAGAAACAGGACATATATGTTTTTTAAAAGAAAATGTAGAGGGGTGGTGCCTGGCTGGCTCAGTTGGTAGAGCATGTGACTCTTGATCTCGGGGTTGTGAGTTCAAGCCCTGTGTTAGGTATAGAAATTACTTAAAAGTAAATTTTTTTTTAAGATTTTTATTTACTTGTTTGAGAGAGAGAGTGAAGAGAAAGAGAAAACATGAGCTGAGGGGGGTGAGGAGAGGGAGAAGCAGACTCCCCAGCTGAGCAGGGAGCCCGATGTGGGGCTCAATCCTGGGACTCCAGGATCATGACCTGAGTCGAAGGCAGACGCTTAACTAACTGAGCCACCCAGGCATCCCCTTAAAAATAAAATCTGAAAAAAAGAAAAAAAGAAAGAAAGAAAGAAAGTGTAGAGAAAGGGACCATTATGGAAGACCCTTCCTGGGAAAGGAGGTAAGAAGTAAGCAAAGGATAATAGCATCACGACCACCCTATTACTGACAGTAAAGGGACTTCGCGTGTGGGTGGAGGCTTTGGACCAGGTGGCTCTTGCACAGCCAGTACGTATTTGGTTGTTGAGTAGCCTCGACACGCTTCCAGAGAGGAAAGACACGGTGGAAACTCAAGAATGTCTGCATACTACCTCTGTTTAGAGCCTGCTAAGTCAACTGAAAAATAGAGTTTTATTTTTTACTAGTGTCAGAAGAGTACTGAAAAGAGCGAGACTCTTACTGCATCATGGCACGGAGGAACCCTTTGGCACTCAGTTGGAATCTGAGGGTCTTGTTCGAAGAGGCTGCTTAGGTGGGAGGGGTGCTTTTTTTTTTTTTAAGATTTTATTTATTTATTTGATAGAAGAGTGCACACAAGCAGGGGCAGCGGCAGGCAGAGGGAGAGGGAGAGGGAGAAGCAGGCTCCCCGCTGAGCAGGGAGCCTGATGCGGGACTTGATCCCAGGACCCTGGGATCATGACTTGAGCCCGAAGGCCGACTGAGCCACCCAGGCGCCCCAGGGGGTGCTTTGAAATAGCAGCAATCTAGTCTGACTTCAGTGGGACTGTAGAGTAGGAGTTTCCAATAATAAGCCCTCACTCTTCTCAGCTACCCGAATTTTCCCCAAATGAATGTCAGCTACAACAGGCTTTTCTAATTAACTGTGATTACCTTGTCTTTTCCTTGTAAGCTCTAGATGAGCATGGGAAGAATGTGACGATCTGTGTGCCAGACTTTGGTCAGGACCTGTACAGAGATGAAAACTTGGTTACTGGACTAGGTACCACTCTCTTGTTCATGTGCATCTTATATTCATGGTAAGTCTTAGGAGATACTTGAGGCCACCTTTGCAGACTTTAAAAGTACAGAGGAAATTTTAAGAAAGCTTTAGCAACAGCGAGGCAGCAAAACAAATCCCACCTGAGGAAGAGGGAAAGTAGCTTGAAGGAAAAAGTGTGTGTCACAGCATCGAACCTCAGTGTTTGGACTTCATTTTCCTTACTTGTATTTATATGGGTGACTATAATAGATCTATAGTACGTTGCAACCCTTGAGGAAATGGTTGAATATTAGTCGCTAAAGCATTTTTGGAGGGCAAGGGAGTACAAAGTGGGGAAGAAATGGTTTGTGCCAGAATGTTTTGGCAGCTTTCTAATCCACGGGAAATGCCATTTGTTCTGCTGCTGATGGAAAGAGTACAAAGCAGTACATACACGGTCATTTTGTGCTTGGCCCAAGAAAGGCAGGAAACGCCCCTTTTATGCTGAAACCCACAGTGCTGTTAAAGCAGGCTGTATTTCACATGCTCGTTCGTGGTGGGGTTGGTGCTGCCTTTATTTAGAATGTTTAAAAGATTGCCCAAGGGAGAAAAGTAACGGGTAGAAATGCTTAGTTACTGATTCTGAGTGTGCATTTCACTGATAATTAAGCTTCCCTTTGGCGGTGACCTCACGTTTAGGTTTTACTTCTGTGTTTTACGTTTTCTTTGTTATGTTTCAATGTATAAAAATTTCATCTTGTTATAGGTGTAATGTATTATGGTCTTCCATAATACATTATGGAAGGAATGTATTCCTTCTGGCGGAAACTGAAGAATCCTGGCAGTGTTAGCTTATAAAATAACATGTCTTTCTGTATGCGCTGGTATTTTCTCTTACAGCTCTCACACTCCCTCCTGTTAGAAAGGGACCTACGGACAGACATTTTGGAGACACGGGAACTGGGTTTTTAGAGTGCTTGTTCAGCCACGTGTCAGGCCATGCAGTGCTTGCTTGGGTGCAGGTGGTTGTCCCAGTGAAGGTTCCGTAACATTGGTCCTCGTCCTGTCCCCAACAGCGTGACAGATTCTCCTCACAGCAAAAAGGACCACAGGGACCATGTCTGGCCTTTCATTTGTAATTAATTCCATAGCTGTTCACTTCATACCTACTATACCCAAAGCAGTGGATGGGATTCCGGCCCAAGTCAGTGAATGTTGTCAGGAAAACCATAAAGCCACCCAAATTTTGAATGCTGATTCTCAGCTCTTCTTTCTCTGAGTAAGCTTTTCCTTCCTGAGTCTGTTTTTCTTGGGCTTCGGGGGCCAGGGAGAGGGGGACACGGCAGCAGCACAGCTAATATCATCATTTATCCCTCAAGTTTTTTTCTGTATTGGCATGTAAAAAGTATTGCAGATGATGTGAGGAGAAAGTAGATGACTAATGAGTGCTTGCCCCTGACGCCCCGTCTCACACCAGCGTTCCGGAGCTGCCAGGTTCCGGGAGGGCTCCCCTCGTGTGGTCGCTGCTGCCCACCCCCTCCTCCCAGCAGGCACCGCGGTGTTGCACTTCAATCGCTAGCGTGCGGTAACGTCTGTTACTGGCATTTACACAGATTCCAGGTAGCTGCGGTCAGCTTTGAAAATTGTTATCTTTTTAAAAAGACTTTATTAATTTATTTGACAGAGTCAGAGACAGCGAGAGCAGGAACACAAGCAGGGGGAGTGGCAGAGGGAGAAGCAGGCTTCCCGCCGAGCAGGGAGCCTGATGGGGGGCTCGATCCCAGGAAGCTGGGATCATGACCTGAACCGAAGGCAGACGCTTAACGACTGAGCCACCCAGGCGCCCCATCCTTTTTTTTTTTTTTTTAAGGAATATCTAGAGTTTTGGGTTTTTTTTTTAAGATTTTATTTTTTTAAGTAATCTCTACGCCCAATATAGGGTTTGAACTCACAACCCCCAGATGAAGAGTTACATGCTCTTCTGACTGAGTCAGCTGGGCGCCCCAGGAATATCTAGAATTCTTGATAGCAATTGTAGGAAGCCTAAAGACTGCATAGTGTGAACATTACATGTTTTCCCTGAAAGTCCCAAAATTGCTTGGGTTTGAGGTTAACTTTTTTGTAAGGTCCTAGAAGGCTTACTGTGCTATCTCCTCACCTGCTCCTTTAGGGGGCTCTCATGCTGGCCTCCATCCTCAGTTTCTGGTTCTCTGTCCCAAGTCCTGCTTCTGGGGCGCTCACTGTATGTTTTATCTTTGCTGCCTTAGCTTGAAGGAAGGGCTCAACCTAAACCTACTCCCCGGCTTTACAGCCGAGGCCGTTCTTTCTCTAGACGCCTCTTCTGTTGTCCCCAGACATTACTGCTGTGAAGAACTATCACAGCTTGGACCCCATGCAGGGGTTCCCTAAAGGCTCTTTGTATAGGTCTATCCCCCTGACACCCCTTAGGCCCCAGCCTCCACTAACTATTTCTTAATTCCCTTCTTGGTCTCTAGATTTTGATTGAAATTGTTAATTTTGTTGGCTTCAAGTTCAGACTGTCCAGCCAGGCAGGATCCTGGAGTCAGTCAGCTTCAATTCCCTCGTTGTACATAAAAAGGAAACTGAGGGGCATAGAGCCCATTTCTGTGATTCTCCACCCCCAATCTCAGGAACCCTCTCCTTGTGTCTCCTTGGCTAGAGTGCTGGGAGAGACAGGTTCATAGTCGTTTTTTCCCCCGGGGATTGTTTGGAGTAAGGTCCTTCACTGAGGTTCAAGGATAAGCTGGATGACTTGCCTCATTTTATTGTTAGGATGTATTTGTGCTATAAAATGGTCCTGGCCGTTTCAGTTTTAACTATGCTTATGAGAAAAATAATTATTATTTAAATGTTTAGGAATTTGAATTTAAAATTGGAAAAACTAAGAATCCTTATTAAATGTCAAACAACTTGCTAATTCAAAATGAAACATTCATGGCAATAGGGCAGACCGTGTAGAAATTAAGTACAAGATTGGTAAGACAGAATTGGAGAGAAGATTGGCTTAAACAGAAGAGTTGGCAAATCACGGTGTCTATTCTTTCGGTGTGTTCTTTGTCTGCTACCTTTATTTAAGAAAGGAGGACAAGTTCAGAAAAAAAATGGAGGAGGAGTATACAAGCTTTATTTTGAGAATCCTGCCGCTCCCTCACCTACCAACTAGAAATCTTCTGGTTTCTGCATTAAGGGGCATGTCAAGGCCTCCCCCCAGTTCACATAGGACTATCTTCTCCATTGGGAGCTAGGAGTCACCAGTTATACTTGGGAACATAACTGAACTTCACACAAAGGGTGGGAATAGTCATGAGATCTCCCAGGGGCCCTGTAAGTTTGTCAGGGAGCAGAATCTGTGCTCTCCAACAGGAAAGTCTGGACACGTTCTCTAGAGATTTTCTTTGATCTAGGGGAGGTTGGCCAGTTCCAAAAGCAGTTGAAGCAGGTGTGGAGAGCCACCTGTGTTTTCTAATCGTTCTGCCGTTATGGAAGAGGCCCTGGACATGGCAGTGGTGGTGGTGGGTGGAGGGGGTGGGTTGGGGGGAGGCAGTTTTTTTGTTTATCATAATTGCAAGGCACTGCTGGTTTCTTGTGAGTGCGGGCTAGAGATAGTCAGTGGGCTATAACTTGTCTATACGGTGAAGCCCTGTCGCAATCAAATGCAGTCAGTCTCCTTCCACACCCCACAAGAAGCAGTGGGTGAAATTGCTCCTGCCTTAGCCCTGGAAGGGAAGAGGTTCTGCGTAATCCAGGAACTGTTGTTTAGCAACGTGTCTTGTGCTCATCAAACGGGGGTCTGAGTAATAGAATGCAGGCAATATGAATTTCCTAGGTGTGAAAACAGTGTTTCCTTGGTAATTCCAAAAGAGTATTTTGTGGGTGAAGGCTATGACTGAATTATAATAATATTTTATAGTGTCATCTACTTGTAGAAGTTCTCTGTTATTAATGATGAACTGAATACAGGTATTTATTTATTTTTAAAATTAAATTCAGTTACTTAACATATAGTGTATTATTAGTTTCAGAGGTAGAGGGTCAGTGATTCATCAGTCTTATATAACATCCAGTGCTCATCACATCACATGCCCTCCTCAGTGCCCATCACCCAGTTACCCCATCCTCCTACCCCCTTCCCCTCCAGCAGCCCTCAGTTTATTTCCTATGATGAAGAGTCTCTTACGGTTTATCTCCCTCTCTGATTTCATCCCGTTTTATTTTTCCTTCCTTACCCTATGATCCTCTGTCTTGTTTCTTAAATTCCACATATGAGTGAGATCATATGATAATTGCCTTTTTCTGACTGATTTATTTCGCTTAGCATAATACCCTCTAGTTCCATCCACGTTGTTGCAAATGGCAGGATCCCGTTCTCTTTGATGGCTGAGTAATAGAATACAGGTATTTAGAAATAAGAACAAAAGCTTCCCCATTTTGTGCTCTCTGATGATGGAAGTAAAGCGACAGAGGTGCCAGAATCAAAGCTTTGTTTTTCTTGAAACCATTTTATTCCAAAAAATTTACAAAAGTGCAGTATGTATTCTAACCCTTTTAAAGAAGGAATACCATCTTTTAGGTGAAAATTGCAGATAATCGATCTCTTTCTAAAAAGTTACATTTTCCTCCGCAGAAATGATACGCTATATTAAATCATAATTCACATGCAGAAAATATAGCATGCTCTTATATGCAGGAGCGAGGTGTGTGTGTTTCTTGGGTGCACCACCATTGGGAAATATCTCTAAAATTCCTCGGATGAGGCTAGAAGTCAGGAAGTGGGAGCGCTTGGGCCTCGATCAGCATCCGTCTGTACCGAACAGAAGAGAAAGTGATGCTATTGGACTTGAGTGGCCCACAAAGGAAGCAGTGTGCTCGGATCCCAGAGGACCTTTTTGTGAGGAAGGCTTTTTATTGTTTATTTGCATTTCACTGATCTCTTCTGTCTCGGAGAAAGGATGAGAATGAGCAGAGAAGGCAGTGTTGCTTCTTGGGGGTTATTTAGTTGACATGAGTCTGTTAAGTCCTGCTTCTCCCGGGGCCACACCCCTGCCTGCCCCCAGGCCGGTGCCGGAAGGCACAGCGTAAGAGGTTAGGGATTGTCTTTTTCACTGGGTCCCCAGGGGCTTAGAACAGGACCTAACACATGGCAGGCTTACAGTAAATGTTTGCTAAATGAATTTATAGAGTTAGCCGGAACCCTGAGTATTGTATATATTTCTGTTTGCTTAAAATGTTCCCTTTTTCCCCCCAGAAGAAATACCTTTTTTACCCCTAGAAGCCAGATTTTATAATATTTTACCTCTGGGTATAGGGAGAATGGTGGGAAGAATTTTTTTTTTTTAATCACACTGAGAGTTAGTCTGTTGAATTTCCAAACAGAAAACCTTGTTCTGCCAAAGGCTGATTATCACAGTAAATAACTGTGACCTTTGCTTTTCATGCCCTTGCTTTTTTTTTTTTTTTTAATGCTATCTCTGGGTTCATTTGTCCGGTTTTGATCCCTTCTAAGTGATTCTACTCAAAAGTTGTGGAAAGATAAAAGGGAAATCAGAAAATCCTTTTGGCTTGGTGTTTGAGGGAGGAGAGGTGAAAACCAAGATAATAGGACCAAAAGATACCTTACTTCTTTATCGACAAACTTCTCTTTGCTTAAAATCATCTAATGCAATCCATGTGAAAAGACATCAACTGTAGAATTGGTCAGTCAGTTTTGGAACAAAGCGGGATATTGGAATAGACGAGTTCTTTTTAAGGAGCCAGGACTGGAGGGTGCCGTGACCCTCTCACGACAGCACTGGTTGGGCGGCTCTGCCCCTCCTCTGTTGGGATATAACGTGTGTGTTTGTTTCTTAGCTTGACATCGACGACAAGGTCAAGTTCTGATGCTCTGCAGGGGCGATACGCAGCTCCTGAACTGGAAGTAAGTTCATTTCCTTCCCTGGTCCTGCTTCATCTCAGAAGACCCATTTTTCAGGAAGCCTTTTTCTGTGTGTTTGCATCTTTATTGATCTGCATCCCATTTTTCTCCCCAGGAAAGAATACAGTTTTTGTACAGAAAAGACAATGTCTCGTAGATACGATGGGATTAAAATGAATCTTTGATTTTCCTCCAACAAAATTAGCCTCTAGTGTGGCATTGCTGCCCATCTCCCACCCGATGCCTGGGTAGCTTTGTCGGGCTGCTCTCTGCGATTTCCTTCTGTCATAATGGACTGTGTGTGTGTGTGTGTGTGTGTGTGTGTGTGTTAACTTCTAGTCCATTCTTCTGTGTAATAGCTGTTCTGGAGAAGGGAAGGAACAAGCATCTGCTCCCTGCCACACTGCTGAGCATTGTCTACACGTTAGCTTATGTAACTACATCAGTTCCGTGAGGTGGGCATTTCACTGGGTAAGGAATTGGGAACAGTAGAGGTCCAGAGAATCAGGGTGGTTAGCAGATGCCTATCGGTCAGCAGAATGTCTGTTATTTCCTTACTTGTGCAAAAGTCTTTTGCTGGGGACCTCATGGAACACCCACCTAGGTCAGAAAAGGGCTAATCCCATGGAGGCAGCCAGGAAAAGACTCAGCCCTGACCCCAAGAATGGAAGGAACATGGGATTCCGAAGATGGCTGAGACTTAACAGCACTTGCTACATGCCAGGCAGTTCTAAGCGCTATATTTGTGATTGCATTTCATACTCATACAAACCCAGTGAGGGCTTTATCTCCATTTTACAGAGGGGAGAGACAGAAAAGTTATTTAAACTTCTGATTAGCTGGCATGTGGCCTGTGCACTCTGGCTCCGGAGTCGGTGGTCCTGAACTCCGCTGCCTGAGAGCTCAGCCGCTGGCTCCTGGCCCCTGGCCCCCGGCCGTGTCCTCGTAGCCTTCCCTGGATGGAGGACCCCTGGTGTCTGTCCAGATATGGACACTCTTCTCTGCAGCTGGGGCTCTGGGGACGGTCTTTCCTGCACCTGACCTGGAGATAGTGAACATTATGAAGGGTTGTCAGTCTGCCAGCAGCATTCAACAGCTCTTTCTGTCCCTTCAAAAAAGGAGAAGGCTCTGCTGAGTCTGAATTAGGTTACTGCTTCTTACACAGAGGAGAATGGTCTCTAGAAGGCAGGCATTTGTTCTCACCACTGGCCGGGTGACCACCTGCTGAGGTCGTGCTCAATGGCTTCAATATCCCTATTGTGTAGAGTGCAAGCTCAAAGAACAGCAAGTCTCTAAGTTAGATTTAAGAGGATGCTTTCCTTCTCGTTCTAAGGAAAATGTCCCACTGTTTTCTTCTGAACTGGAGAGCCTGCAAAACGGAAGTTGGTTTGCTCTCCTTGTATCAAGTTTCACAGGATATACCTTTGAAAGAGAGAGTTAGTGGTTTCTTATGCTAAGTTAAGCTTCAGAAGAACTGGACCCCAGGATACCCTGCCTTGAGCCCACTGAATGATTAGTGAATCTTAGACTGTGTCACTTGATCCAAGATTCTGTCACGGCCATTCCCTCTTTTAGAAGTGTCCCTAATGTAGTAGGGAAACGGGCTTGGCCTTGCGGTGTATAAATGAGATGAAGGCTCACACTCCTATGTCCTTGTCCCTGGCTCTGTGTTCTTTCTAGTAAAAGTACTGTCAGCCAGAAAGTGCCAAGGACCCAGTACTCCCCAGCTGGTCTTGCTACGTGTAATGTTTCTTACTCTGTTTACCAGAGTCTTTCTGAAATCATGTATTAATTTTTCATAATCCAGTTTTTTATTAGTTTATTGTTCTGAGTAGGTCAGAAACACGGTACAAAATTTAAAAGGTGTCAAAGACTCTTCAAAGGAAGGCATCCCCTCCATCCATCCCGGTCCCCAGCACCCCTGCCTCCGTAGAGGCAGACAGTTCAGCAGCCTGATTTCATAGGAAATGTAGGTGGGCCTCCTGCTTCCAGACCTCCTAGCTTTACCATGTCTGATTCTGCCGGCTCCACCATCTCTTAGACCTCGCATGCCTAGACCTATTGCCTCTTGTGAACTGCACACCTTGGAGTGCCTGTCCTGCATTTATACTCCAGCTCTGTCACTAGACTGGTTTTGAACCTCAGGCCAGAATTGCTTGACCTCAGTTTCTTCAACTGCAAACAGAATAATAATCCCAGCAAGTAGAGCAAATCACCACCAGGAGTGAGCTCCATGAGAGTGGGGACCTGTCTTGTTCACCTTGCATTTCAGGTTGAATTTTCCAGAAGCAGCTGCCAAGGCAGAGTTGACCCACAGAGTATCTATTAGGGATCAACACAGGTGGAAGGAAAGGAAGGGGAAGGAGGCAAAATTGGGCCAAGGGTGAAGTTGAAGGGCACCGTAGGCTGGACAAAGCCTCTGTTGACCCCTTCGGTGACCCAGAGCAGATATGACTCATCAGAGCAGTCAGCGAGGGTCAGTGGCTGCACCTCTACACCCCTGCCCGTGAGCAGTCATTCAAGGTGGGTTGCCCAAGAAGCCTGGCTCTAGGGCAGGGCAACTCTGTGACTGAGGGAAAGCCTGGGAGCTGCCCTCTGGAGGCTGCTCACAGCACTCCAAGTAGCTGAGTGAGCACTCAGTGAGCGCCATTGAAGGGGCTCTAGGTGGCTCACCTCCGTGTCTGTTTCCTGTCGCCGGCACCAGAGCACTTGGGAAGAACAGATGCTTAGTCATATCCTTTGGAAGGGGTCACATGAGTGCAGTTCAGAGCCTGGCTTCCAATTTATGCGGAAGGCTTGGCACATCACGTGGATGGCCTTTAGTGAAGTAGAAAAGCCCCCTGACGTTGTTGGGTTTGCTTTTCCAGGTAGCCCGGTGTTGTTTTTGCTTCGGCCCCGATGGAGAAGGTAAGTAGTCAATCTCCCTTACGTGCAGCTCTAGTCTTAGGTGTTTGGGATTCACACCCAGATAACTTGAATGGTAAGAGGAAAATTTTCTTCCAAAGCTGGTGTACTGTTGATCTACTTTTCACATTCTTCCTGAGTGATTGCTGGGTGTATTTGTTTGTGTTGGTATTCTGGCCAGCAAGAACCCGTTTCTGTTTTGGCTAATATGTAAGTTAAATTCTACAGTGAGATTTAGAGAAGGAGGAAGTACATTTTTCAAAGGAATGAAAATTTCTTCCCTTCAACTTCCTTTTCTTCTTGGATTGGAGCATCCCAGAGGCTTGAGAACGCTTGGCTTGCTCTCTCACTTCCATCTGAGCTTATCCTGGGTTTTCTGTTAGTAAGGGTTCTCTTCTGCTCTGTTCAAACGAATGTGATGTTAGGAAACTCATCCTGTGGAGGAGGGTCCTGGGGTTGGGTGGGGGTTTTGCACAGAGGGTGTGGATAAAATTGCCTGAGGCTACAAATGGCTCTTGACATCTTTTCTACTCACCAGTCTCTGGGATTGGAATGAGTGAGTGTGACTCTGCTAATGCGGCAGGCGTGCATGTGTTCGCTCAATGAGCTTGCGCTCGCTTTGTGCCTCACAGACACTGAAGAACAGCAGAATGTGAAGGAGGGACCACGGGTCATTTATGATGAGAAGAGAGGCACTGTCTATAGTTACTCCTATTTCCACTTCGTGTTCTTTTTGGCTTCCCTCTATGTGATGATGACCGTCACCAGCTGGTTCAAGTGAGTGGCCCGTTGTCTTACACATTTTAGAAGGGATAGTCTTTAGAAAATCAAGTTAAGTCCTAGTCTTTAAGTGCTGAGACCCACACGGAGTCACAGATCCAGTCTCCTGGAGTCAGCTAAACTCTTCTCCAAGTCCTGCTGTGCTCATCTACACAGAAACAGTCCTGGGGTCTCAGCAGTCTGCGGGCATGCTTTTAACCCTGGGAATTGCTGATGCTCATGCCCCACAACGGGGGCTAAGGTGGCGTGTGTCCCCTCATTCCTTTTCTGTGCATTTACAAACCTGTGCAATTTTTAAAATATCAATACGATTACACGTGTTTCCCCTTGAGATTTTTTTGCTTTGTTTTGTTTTTTAAAGTTGGCAGTACATGATGGATCTAACTTCCCCTGTCACTACATAGAAATTCTCTTTTTAATTCTTTTTGGACCATTTTTCACTGATCCGAAGTTTTGGTTGGATCATAATTTGTTATAACTCAGAATACACATGGGATAGACATTTAGGCTCATTGTGCTATCCGTTCATGCAGCAACTATTTGAGTGGCTTCAATGTGCTGCACTGTTAGAAATGGCAGGCTTATAATCTAACGGAGGAGACAGACCATGATCCAAATGCGGTGTGGCAGATAGTGCTGTTAGGGAGAAAAATGAGGAAAAGGAATGAGGAGTACCAGGTGGGGTTTAGGGATGGTGGGGCCAGCAGAAGGCTTCACTGGGGAGATTTTCCCAGAACATCCTAAGGGAAAAGAGAGGAGGGAGCTTCTAATGTATTCGCAGTGCATCTAATGCTTTGGTAATTCCTGGAAAGTTTTGGCGTGGGAAGCTTAAAAGATGGAGGGAGCTATAATTAATGAGGCAGAAAATAACAGATATTGTCAAGAATGTGGGAAAAATTTAGAACCCTTTTACAAAAACTCCTGCTAGGATCGTAAACATGGTGCAACCACTTTGGAAAACACTTTGGCAGTTCCTCAGAATGTTAAACACAGAGTTATGGTATGACCTGGCTGTACTAATCCTAGGTATATGCCCAACAGGGAAAAAAAGTATGGCCACACAAAAACTTTTACACACATCACTTAAGCAGCATCACTTATCACAGCCAAAAAATAGAAACCACCCAAATGTCTATTAGCTGATGAATGGATAAACAAAGCATGCTATCTCCACGCAGTGGAATATCACTCAGCAATAAAAAGGAATCAAGTATTGATCCATGCTACCACATGAACAAACCTTAAACACCGGTCACAAGAGGCTACATGATTCCATTTATATGAAATGTCTGGAATAGGCAAATCCAGAGAGACAGAAAGTAGATTAGTGAATCCCAGGGGCTGGGAGGAGGTGGGGAAATGGTGTACACTTTAAATGGTGTGAGTTGTATCTGAATTGAGCCGTTAGGAAAAACAGAAAGGCTGGAGGGGATGGGAGCAGGGAGACCCCTTCTGGAAGAGATCTTCTCACTGCCTTGTTCTCTTCCTGCTCTGACCACAGTTGGCTCTCGTTTCCACAGCTATGAAAGTGCCAACATCGAAACCTTCTTCAGTGGAAGCTGGTCCATCTTCTGGGTCAAGATGGCCTCCTGCTGGATGTGTGTGCTGTTATACCTGGGGACCCTGGTCGCTCCCCTCTGCTGTCCCTCTCGCCAGTTCTCTGTGTGAGGAGGATCTGAGCAGGCCTGCAGGCTGGAAGTGACATCCCTTGAACAAGTGTCCCAGGGGTTTGAGTCGTGACTGGTGCTTTGTGAAAAGCTGGCATCCTCTGGCTGGTTTGAGTGGGTCTGAAAAAGGCTTTCAGAAAGAAAAAAAAAATCACCTGATTGGCTTTTTAATTCAGAAAATCAAAAAGAAATAACCATTTTATTCCAAAAGAATTGAAATTTTCAACCAAGCTGATCCTGAGTGATATTTTGTGTGTGTCTCCGCTCTGAAAACTGGAAGAGAAATTAGGCTAGTATTTTCCTTCTGTACTTTTTTTCACCAAAACAGAGTTTGGGGCATGACAGGGATAAATCTGACCTTGTCATTCTTATCCTTGGAATAGAAAAACTTGCCAAAATCTTGAACCCTCAGCCCCTGACGGAATGCAGACCCGTCTCCCACACCTCGGCCGGGAGCCTCATCTGCAGTGGGCTCTGCAGAGAGCACTCATCCTGCAGGCTCCTTGCTCTCAGCTACTTGGTATTTATAGGGTACAGGAGGAAGCACCTGCTTTTAACTCCACCCTTGTGCTGTTTCCTCCTGGCCTCCAGACGTTTCCCTTTGAAGCTGTGATGCTGGGAATCACAACTTCACACTCTGCCCTGGCCTTTCTCAGAGGTGCCCTCATCCTTTCTGGGCTCAACGTTTTTGCCCTAATGTGAAAAAGCACAATTTGCCGTCACTACCATGTGGTTCCCCCACTGTGCTATTCCTTCCTGATCCAAGTTCCTGCAATAATTATGACTCCTATTTGTGGTGTTATTCACATGATTATAGAACAATATCCATGTTGTTTTCTTTGCCTGAACGATGGAGGGCTATCGTTCTTACTTGTTTGTATTATTAATATTAATAATACTCTAGGACCTTACCTTGACTGAAGCCCGCTGCACCTCTCTTTCAGTTATGAAAGTCAGCCAGTTTTCTCTTCCACCTAGAGGCCTTTGAAATTGTAAAAGCAAAAGGGCTCTTGTTTCCTGGATCTGGAAGGTGCATGATAATATTCACTGTGGTTTTTTGGAGTAGATTTGCTGAAGTGAGGATTCCAGGCAGCACCTCAAACTGGGCTGACCAGATAAGGCCTATCTCATATAAGTTGTAGAAGTGGCCAAATATACTTAGAAGAAACGGTGGGGGGTGAGGGGGTGGGGAGGGGGGTATGTAATTAAGCCATAAGCAACATCCGTGGAGATTTCCAAAAATACGAACTTGTAAAGTAATACTCATAAGAGATTTGACTTTAGGCAGCTGCCCAAGAAGATATCCGTGTTCAGTGTTGATGTCCGTCCTCAGTGAGGGAAGAGTTTTCTCGGTGAAAAGTGGAAAGTCCATTAGGGACCCCAGTGGAGACACGATGGGGATGCTCCCGGGAGTGTCTCGTGCAGGGTGACAAGGGTCCTCTCGAGCTCCCTGGCACAGAGGGTCTGAGAATGGAGACACTTGGCCTGTACTTTGTGTGTCTTGCCAAGTTGGGCAGAATCGGGTCCCTGTGTGCCAAAATGCTGGTGTGGGGAATTAGTCCAATTCTTCATTTTTGCTCCTTTGCCCTCCTCCCAGGAACACAAGCGGGAAAACAAATTCAGTGAATGAATTCCTCTAGAATCTTGCCTTATTTATGTTTGAGGTTTCGTTTTTAAAGGCAGTCGTGTATGGGTGAGAGCCTTGTTTTTTGCAAACTTCATCCAATTTCTTATTTTAGGCCAGAAGCTCTTTGAGCTTGGCGGTTGAAAGGTCTCTGGTGTCACAAAATGGAAAGCTGCCACGTGCAGCCCCTGTTAAGCCAGTGGGCCTGGGAGCTCTGTGGGTCGGGGACAGGTTGAGGGAATGGGTTGTGTGTGGGACAGCCCCCAGGCAGGAGCTGCCACGGTGGCTGCTGCTGTGACACAGGGCTCTGGGTAAGCTGAGACTGGCTTTAGGAAAGACCGCGAGCAGAGTCCCATCAAGAGCTGGGATGCTAGTTTCATTGTGTTTTCTTCCTGCCAGGGTCTAGCTGGTTTGGGCAGCCAGCTGTGTGACTTTAGAACTGGCCCTCAGGGCAGGTTACGGTCCAGCTGACAAGACTCTTGTTCCTTGGCTGGCCTTTGTTGGCGGGCTTCCCCTGCAGAAAGAAGCTCAGGGAAACAGAAAGGAAAGCATTCGTTGCCAGTGGCAGGGCCCTCAGCGCTTCCTTCTTCAGCTGGCCCAGCCAACCCATGTTTTGGAGCTGCTTAAAACTTGGTTTGTGGCCCAAAGTTCTTCTTGAAGTTTAGTCTGACACGAGAGGCAGAGTTGCAGTCACTCTGATTTTTAGTCTCAACTGACAGTCGAAGCAAGTTTATCTGAATGATGGGAGAGGTGTGGATATATCCTAAGGACTGAAGGCATATAAATAAGGTAACTTTAATGATTATTCATTGTCATAACAATACTCAGGTGATGAGTCAATGTTTGTGGGTGTAAAGAACCCACATTCTTGTGCTGTTGTGATTTAAGAAACTGGAAAAATTGTGCCAATTGCTTTGAGTTGCTGTAATGAAGGTGTTCATTGGATACATTCACTGATCTCTTTTTAAAATAATTTTGCTTCCTACAACTTTTTGTACATGATTTTAAAAAGTACATTCCCAGTAGCTGCTGGTCAGACTCCTTTAAGCGATACAAGAGGGAGAAGTTTTTTAAAAAGCTCTATGTGTATGTTTCTTCTGTGCTATTCCTTCGATGTGGAAATTTTTTCCCTTCTCGTTTTCAGGAGTAGAAACACTAGGTGGGGGAAGGGATTCTTCTGGGAATGTTGCTGTATACCTAGATGGGTCATCTGACTGAAGGCTGGAGACTTTTCTGTCAAAAGCTTTTGGAAACCCAACTTGGTCCTTGTTGGGTTGAGTTTCTGTAATATTGGTTAGTTGGTTTTGCTTTTGTCCTCTCAGTTTCTTGGGGAATGGCTTGAAAGAATTGTTCCCCAGAGGTGTTTGGCGCTCTTTGGTGGAGTAGAAGGACTGTATGCATGTGGACTGTTGGAAGGTGGGGTTACTGGAGATTTGGGGTTCTGGTGCCCATCAGGAATGGTCAGCAGTTGGGCCCCCACACCTCAGTTTTTAAATTTCCAGTTCCTCAGAGGATCCTTCATTCTGGGTGACCTTCGTGTAGTGCTAATCCCCACCCTCACCCCCATATTGTCCCCCTCTGCCTATTTAAGATTATGTACTTATTTAATTTTAGCCGGAAGTTTATCACCATTGGTGCTTCATGTTACCCTGCAAAGGGAACTCCAGAGCCTTTGTTTAAGCCTCCTTGGCTTTTTTTCTCCTTTGACTGCCTTTCTAAATAGCATTTCATTTTGGCGTACATTTGTGTTCTACTCCTCTTGGAAGTGAAAGCAGTTTTAATCTATAACAAAGAAGGGTGTGACCTTGGGCTAAGACCCTGCCTGTCCAGAGAGAACGCTGGGTCCTCCTTAATCAGGGACAGTGCGGTAGTCACTCAGCTCATGGAATTCTCTGTAGGAGACTCTCCTAATAGAACTAACTCCCTCTGCTTTGTTCTTAAGGCCACCATGTTTCCCGCCATCTTTAAAATGCTTGTAAAGCCTCAGACACGTTCATCTAGTGTTGCATTTCAGGCAGAGATGGGCTCGCTCGTGTTGGACTTAACGTTACAGAGCTAGAGAGCTGTTACGTAGAACTTTCAAACTAATGCTGGTCATTCTAAAGATCTTTATCTCTTTAAAATTGTCTTCCTCAGTAAATCACTTGGAGAGGCATTCATTTTGAAAGGGGGAAATATTTGGCTTTTACCAAAGAGGGTTTTTTGTTATTAAGCAAAATTCCTTCAGAAAAACTTAATTGGGTAAGGATAGATTAAAAACGCATATGTCCAAATCCACTTCTGTAGGAGTTCAGTCATAATTTATGTGAGTAAAATGATGAAGAACTCGTTAAGGTAATCCTCTGGGTGAAGGATCCTGGGAAATTCTCTCAGGTAAAGAAAGCTTGCAACAGATGTGTAATATATGTCTTGAGAGTTATTTATAAGAAATTTAAGAGGATTGTTTTGCTTTCCTATATTAAAGATTTAAGTTCTTTTTTTACTTTGCAAAAAAAATTCTACGAAAAGTTTTATAATTGTAACATTGTTAATTTTTAAAATTTTTCCAAAACAATTAGCTGTAGCCAGATTATGTGGTTATGTTTTGCTCTACTTAGAATTTGAAATGTAATATGTGTGGTAAATTTACTGTTTGAAATTTATAATAGTCTTGGATATGGTTAGAGTTTTGTTAACTTTTTTAAAAATTATTTTCTTCCCTCTAGTCACAAAGGCAACTGTGGGTTTATATTTGTTTTTTGAATGCTAATTTTTCTATGAAGCATCTGAAGTTGACCAGTCTTTTCCTATGTAGAAAACTCAAAACTTGTTAACTCTGTACTTTAATAAAATTTAAAATGGAAAACTACATCGTTGTTGTTGTTGTTTTGGTTTTTGTGTTTTTTTGTAATTGAACATCCTCCAGGTGGTGTTTTCCGAAGATGTTGCCTTCAGATGTTAATCACCATTCTCTGAAGCTCATAGAATCTTTTCTGATTCTTGATAATGAAAATATAAACATGAAAACCCAGATTTTTTGTTTCCTTCACCCCCCTCCCAAAAGCTTTTGTGGACTGCTTCCTTTTTCCTATTCTTAGGCTAGTGCCACACTATCTTAAAAATGAGAATTAGAGTGAGTCTCTAAGGGAGGTAGTAGAAGTCTTCCAACATGGGCCGCCTTTTTCAAGATACGGCTTTCCTAGACCTTTTATATTTTCCTTGAAAATTTAGGCTTGAGTGGGATGGCATTGTGTCATTAGACTAATTTGGGGGAGAATCGACATTATAACAACATTAAGTCTTCTGATCTAGCATTATTTTTCATTCATGTAGGTTTTTAAAATTTTCTTTAGTAGCGTATAGTATTTCTATTTTTATTAAAATGTCTTCGTGTGAAA